ACCTGTAGCTCAGTGGCTAGGGCACTGGCCACATACACCAGGGCTGGCGGGTTCAAACTCTGCCCAGGCCTGCTAAACAACAATGACAATTATATCCAAAAATAGCTGGGCATTGTGGCGGGCTCCTGTGGTCCCAGCTACTTGGGAGGCTGAGGCAGGACACTCACTTGAGGCTAGGAGTTGAAGGTTGCTGTGAGCTGTGATGCCATGGCACTCTACCCAGGGGGAAAGCTTGAGGCTCTGTCTCAAAAAAAAAAAAAAAAAAAAATCCTAGGGCCTTTAAGAATAATGCTAAATCTATTCTGCTTGTGCTCTATCAAAGGAAAATAAAGCCTGATGACAGCACATTTGTTAACAGCATGGGCTTAATGGGTACTTTAAGCTCATGGTTGAGACCTACTGCTCAGAAGAAAAGATTCCTTTCAAAGTATTACTGCTGATTGACAATACACCTGGTCACTCAAGAACTCTGATGGAGTTATCTGAGGAGATCAATATTGTTTTCATGCTGATTAACACAACATTCATTCTGTGGCCTATGGATCGAGGAATAATTTTGATTTTCAAGAGCTCTTGTTTATGAACTACATTTCATAAGGATACAGCTGCCATAGATAGAGATTCCTCTGATGGATCTGGGAAAAGTAAACTGAAGGATTTCTGGTAAGGATATACCCTTCTAGATGCCTTAAGAACATTCTTAATTCATGGGAGAAGGTGAAAATATCAACATTAACTGAAGTTTGGAAGAAAATCCCAGTTCCCATGGATGACTCGAGAGGTTCCGGTCTTCAGCGGAGGAAATAACTGCAGATGTAGTGGAAATAACAAAAGAGCTAGAATTAGAAGTGAAGTCTGAAAATGTGATTGAATTGTGGCAAGCTCATGATAAAAACTAAACAAATGAGGAATTTCTTTTTATGGCTGAACAAAGAAAGTGGGTTTTCTTTTCTTTTTTTTTTAAGTGAATATTGTAGAACAGTGGTTCTCAACCTGTGGTCACGACCCCTTTTTAACAATGAAAATACATTGAGGCATTAGGAAGGTTGAGAACCACTATTGTAGAAAAAAAGGAGTTTCTTTAGATGGGATTTACTCCTGATGAAGAAGCTATGAACATTGCTGAAATGATAACAAAATATTTAGAATATTAACATGAACTTAGTTGATAAAACAGCGGCAGGTTTTGAGAAGATTGAGTCCAATTTTGAAAGAAATTCTACTGTGTGTTAATGCCATCCAACAGCATCATATGGTACAGAGAAATCTCTCGTGAAAGGAAGAGTCAACTGATGTAGCAAACTTCATTGTCTTATTTAAGAAATTGCCAAAGTCACCCCAACCTTCAGCAACCACTACCCTGATCACTCAGCAGCTATCAATATCTTCTACCTGCAAACAGATTGCGACTCGCTGAAGATTTATATTATTAGCATTTTTTAGCAATAAATTATTTTTAAAGTAAGGTATATACCTTGATATTTAGACATTATGCTATTATACACATACTATAGTTGGACTTTTTTTTTTTTTTCTTTTTGCAGTTTTTGGCCGGAGCCGGGTTTGAACCCACCACCTCTGGTATATGGGGCTGGTGCCCTGCTCGTTTGAGCCACAGGTGCCACCCTATAGTTTGACTATTATACCTATAGTGTAGTTTGACTATTATGCATAGAGTATTGTATAGTATAATGTAGACTTGGCATTTGCTTCATTGTCATGGTTTGGAGCCAAATCTGCAGTATCTTTAAGGTGTGCTTATATATCAAAATTATGGCTTTAGGTAGCACGGAACTAGATGTAAATCCTGGTGCCTCTGCTTCCAGGGAGGATAAAGGGACAATATTTATCTTGGCATCTATAAGACTCTTTTTGCGCCTGTGTACAACTTAGTTAATATATACTCCATAAAATAAGATGGACACTTTCAGGTCTGCCATCATGACAGTTCTTTTCTTAGCAGAGTAATTATAGAAAAAGAAAAATGAAGACAAAGGGGAATGACGTTGAAAACCCTTTAGGTGGCAAATTTTAATGTCCTTCAAAATTTAATATCCTTTGAAATGTCTCCTCTCTGTGGTTTTCAGTACCGTTTCACAAGACATTTATGAGCAGTCACGGCATGACAATTTTTCATTTGGTTTTCCAGAGTTCTTGTGCAAAACCCGAGCATACCTATGTGCTGTATAAAAGATATCCTCTGGCCCTGAAGGAGCTGTGCAGCTGACCCTCATGTTGAAAGACTTACACATCTTCACCGTTGCTGTAGAAGCCACATACAGAATCTTCAAGAATATCCTCCTCAGGCTGGAGGGCGATGCCTCAGCAGTATATCCATTGAGTTTGGAGAATCTCTTAATAGTCCTGAAAGTGAACCAAAATGTGCACTGACACCCCAGTCCCGGTCTCTTGTCTTACATTTTTCATTTTCAGAGTCAGGGACCTACCCGAATACTCCAGGGATGTGTCAGATGGCATGGCCTTTTGCTTCTTGTATCAGCCAGGGCCCATCAGAGAAGCAGAATCTTTCTCTCCCTCTCTCTCTCCATCTACCTGTGTCTGTATCTAAATCTCTATGTCTGCCATCAATCTATATTTATAAAAATGAAAAGAATTTACTTTGTTACCGAGATTTGACCTTATTCAATTGTCAAATGATGCCTTATGGAGACTGCTTAACTATCTCAAATCTGAGGCGGGGAACATGAAGTTCAGTTGATCTAGACAGGAAAATATATATAAAGGTCAGAGAGCAAGAGAAAGCTGACCCATAGGCGTGAGGGGAAGACCATGAAGATCAACTGAAATCCATCAGTTCTTATTACCTCTGACCTCCATGGTCATGGTGGGGCATCTTACACACACTGGGGCCCATCACCAGCAAGCTCAACACACGCACCTCAACCAGGATGTGGGGAAGCTGAGGGAAGATCCCGGGGAACGTGCAGAGTTGCAGGCTCAGTCATGGCTTCATGCTAATGAGGTAAGTCAGCAGATAAGTGACAATGGCAGCAACTATGTGGGCCGTCATTTATAAAACAAGGTGTGCTGTAAAAGAAAAATTCACTGAATACTTGCTAAAAATGGCGAGACCGATTTCAGCTGAGCTACTGCAGTCGAGAAGGGAAACTTCGACATAGAACTGAGCTCAACTCTGAATATAGCAGAGACAGCCGGGGATCTGTAGTCAATGAGCAGAATAAGGGGGTCAGTGTTGGGAAAATTACTAAGATGGACTTGAATAGATATCAAGGGTGGGGGGATTCCTGCTAAACTGAGCTCAGCTAGCCAAAGAGGAGGCTTAGTCAAGAAGGGAGCTCGTGGAGGGATTCTTTGTCAGTGTGAAGTCTCTCAGTACCAGCTTTCACTCTGTGCTTCACACTTCCCACAAGCGTCTTTCTCATGGTCCATTCACTGAGAGATTTGGGAGATGCAGTTCAGCCTGGCTGAGGTGACAACTGCAGAGCTGCCACCTTCCTCTTTGGTGGCCCAGCTTCTCACTCTAGCTTTTCCTTCCTGCTGTGAGCACCAGAGCGTGGGAACGGACTCCCTCACCATCTCCCCTAAAAGTACATAGGTGCGGGATGCATTGGCAGGACAATGCCAGCTTCCCCCTACTTCTACTTTGCTCCTATCTTACGATGAACGTTCTCGTCCTTTCTCTGCTCCCGGCTCCTTGCTCCCTAGGACAGCAGGGGAGGCGTGGTTACGTTTGGGACATGGTCTAGTCATGTTTCCTGAGATCTAGATAATATAATCAGTGGATTTGGGGGATGGAATCTGCCAGAGGGGAGCTAGTAGTCCTACCACCAAATCAAAACTATTTTATTTTCACTTACTGTAAGGGGACAATTCAGAAATACTTATCTTCTGGGGTGTAGGTGTGCTCCAGCTTTATGAGCCTTTGGAGATACTCAGGACAGGTTTGCATTAGAAAGTCAACGAATGTGAGAGCTACTAAGGCCCAAGGCTTGTTCAGATGGTTAGGACCTTCCTTGCCTCCATCCATGGGGTTAGGCTTTCTCCTGCGTTCCTGCCCACAACTTTCTCTGACAATGGCTGGCAGAATGACAACTGGCTGGTTAAGAGACAGGTTCACGGCTCGGCACCTGTGGCTCAAGCGGCTAAGGCGCCAGCCACATACACCTAAGGTGGCGGGTTCGAATCCCCAGCCTGGGCCCGCCAAACAACAATGATGGCTGCAACCAAAAAATGGCCAGGCGTTGTGGCGGGCGCCTGTAGTCCCAGCTACTTGGGAGGCGGAGGCAGGAGACTCGCTTGAGCCCAGGAGTTGGAGGTTGCTGTGAGCCTGATGCCATGGCACTCTACCCAGGGGGATAGCTTGAGGCTCCGTCTCAAAAAAAAAAAAAAAAAAAAAAAAAGACAGGTTCACGTTGCAGAGCATTTCACCCTCTTGCCGTTCTAACAAGTGTACCTAAGCCTGATGAAACATATATATTTTGTTTCCTGAAAGCTCAGCAATAAAAAAATGTGACAAAGAAGGAATCCAGATCATGAGGACAGTGAGTGAGCTAATTCTTCAGTGTTCATAGGAGGTCAATAGTTGCTTTGGGAAACTGACATATTTAGAAATAGAAGTCTTTCTGTGTTCTTTAGAGTTATGAAGGCAACCACCCCAAAGATCTAGGACCATACGCAGTTTAAAGGTTTGCTTCTCCCTCATCCCCAGAGGAAGGAACTGGGCAGGCAGTGGGGCAGCGGTGGAGTCAAGCAGGAAGCTCACATAATCGCTCTGTTCTTGCCACCTCCTTTTTTTCCATCTGAATGCATTATTTTGATAATAATTAAAAGGGAAGACAAACTACACTCTTCCACAGAATCTTAGTCTATTGAATAAGTCACATACATTTTGTTAATTTTTGAAACCAGGCTGTATTTAAGGAAGGTGGAACAAAAAGCGCAGAACAGTTTTATCTCAGAGATTCCAGGAACCTCCAGCAACTGTAATTGATAAGGAATTTCAAAATTCTTCATTTGCAATGGCTAAAGAGAAGAAAATACAGCTCAAGCGAGTTTTTGGCTATATCTGGGGCACAAGTTTTTTGATCGTTAATGTTATTGGTGCAGGGATTTTTGTGTCCCCCAAAGGCGTACTGAAGTATTCTTGCATGAACGTGGGGCTCTCCCTGTGTATTTGGGGTGGCTGTGCTGTACTGTCCATGGTAACATCGCTCTGCTATGCAGAGATAGCCATCAACTTCCCATGCAGTGCATGCCACTACTATTTTATCAAGAGATGCTTCGGGTCCCCAGTGGCTTTCCTACGTCTCTGGACAACCTTGTTTCTGGGGCCAGGGATATTGGCTAGCCAAGCACTGCTCCTTGCTGAGTATGGGATTCAGCCTTTTTATCCCAGCTGCTCTGCCCCAAACCTGCCAAAGAAATGTCTGGCACTGGCCATGTTGTGGACTGTGGGAATTTTAACTTCTTGTGGCGTAAAACAGGTGACTTGGCTTCAGCTAGCTAGCACAGTGCTGAAAATGTCCATCCTTGGCCTCATTTCCCTCATTGGAGTGGTGTTGCTGGTGCAAGGGAGACAGCAGAATGTCCGCCAGTTTCAGAATGCTTTTGATGGTGAACTTCCAGATGCCATCCAGTTTATAGAAGCTGTCTTCCAAGGATACTTTGCATTTTCAGGAGGGGCATGCTTCACATTCATAGCAGGTAATTAATTGACAATCTATTGGGGGAAAAATATCAAGCCATGACATTGTAGGCAATAAATATGCATATCCTTTATTATAATTTGAGTCGTATATAAAATAAATCACTCTGTTTTTCTTTTTCCTTCTGACTTTCTAAATCAGGTCATACCAGCCTTGCACTTGTCATCTACTCTTAATTATTGTTTCTGTTTATTCAAAATGCTTATTTGACTGCACAACTTGTCTTTTTCAGCTTTCTTTTCTGGGACAACAGATGTGGGACTTCTGTGTTAATCTACTTGCCTTTCTATTAATGGGTAGAGGCTGAATTTGTGAAGTTATTCCCTACACATGAAGCTGTAAATCCATGCCAGACAGTGTTTGTGTTGTGGGTGGGACACATTTATTTATTTCTCTTTCATGTCAGAACAAAAGATCTTCTCTTTAGTTCTTTTTAGAGACAGAGTCTCACTTTATTGCCCTCAGTAGAGTGCCGTGGCTTCACAGCTTACAGCAACCTCCAGCTCTTGGGCTTAGGCATTTTTCTTGCCTCAGCCTCCCAAGTAGGTGGGACTACAGGTGCCCACAACAATGCCCAGCTATTTTTTGTTGCAGTTTGGCTGGGGTCGAGTTTGAACCCGCCACCCTCGGTATATGGGGCCAGCGCCCTACCCACTGAGCCACAGGAGCTGCCAAAGTTTTTCTCTTTTCATTTCCAAAGTCAGTTTCTTCCCTAGAACTCTTTATCTTTTCCCTTCTACTGCCTTAAAGACTTTTCACATTCTTTTATTTCCATTTTTCTCAACTTCAACCTATTTACTAGTTCTTTTGCTTGACATTTAAATATGAAGCCATCACTTCTTGTCTTTTTTGATAAAATCAAATGTAAATCTGAAACCAACTACAGACTCTTAAACCAATTTTTTCCTTAATCTTAGTACCCTCTGCTGATATATCTATCATTCATTAAGTTGTCTGAACAGCAACCATCTGTTTAGACTTTGAGGAGTTTTTTTTTTTTTTT